GTATTTTCCACAGCGTCATTCTGGTTATTTGAGAAACCATTGGTGCAGCGTTCGGCCAAGGCGCGGCCTGGTTTTGTCATCGCATCTGGCATACTTTCGATGGGCTGTGTTGCCATGCTGGCGCTCGCAGCAACAAGAGGCGGCATGGAACCAACTTCTGCGTTTGTCGACTTTTCAGGTGCTCCTAGCGACAATGCGCGCTCTAATGGGTCGGGGTCAACCAGTGCTGGCTTTGATGCGCCAACGCGTCTGTTGTTTCTAGGTGATAGCCGTTCCTATCGCCTGGCGCGCCTTATGCATTGGATTAACGGCGGTGATCAATATCGTTGTCCTGCGAGTTATGCCGAACCGTGGGGACCGAAGGTAGTCAATCACGGAGAGCCCGGAGGGTGTGTAATCCAGGGATTTGGCACGGAGCGCTGTACTATGTGCATGAAGCCAACAACTTCCAAGAGTAAAATCATACACACGACGCGTGATGTCATTGTGAAGGAGCAGGCGCCTTATGTTTTTGTGATTGATAGCAACTACTATCGGGGGTGGGAGACCGCCCCCAAGAATGACCCGAAGCGACAAATAGGGCTTTGGGGGATGGAACTTCCACTGCAGGAAGCGTTGCAGAGAATGATCACCCATATAGCGTTGAATGGCGCACGCCATATTTTTTTGTCCACGTCTTCACCGTTTCTCAGATTCAAGAATTTTACACAGGAGCATGTGGGCGCGACACTGCAGAGAAATGTATTTCAGAAGGTAGTAGGCACAATGCGTTGTCGAAGCTCCACTCATGCAGGGCACCGGGTATTGGTTTCCATTGTACATTATCATAAGTTGGTTTGCCCAAGCTTTGACGAGCGAGTGGCGGAGACGGTTCTTCGCAAATCAAAAATCTGCAACCAGAGTGGGCCAGGCTTCGCGAAGAAGATGGACGACTACAATTTTCACGCGAATTTCGGCCCAGGGGGCAACTACTTGGTACGCCAGCTTCAAGAGGCGTTGTATACAGGCATCGCCCGACAAGGCTCACGCTTTGCCAAACCGTTTGAGGGGCCTGTGAGGTGCCGTCGGCAGGACGAGCTTCTGAAGAGTCCAGAAGATCTGCTCACTACGACCGAGATTTGCGTCAAGCGGACGCAGCCTCGGGTCACCGAGATGTTGCTGCAGCACCAGGGCGCCAATATTGAGTTGCCTAATGGAGAGAAGGATGTCTATATGTGTCGTGGTTTCAAGTTTGACGGATTGGAAGATGGCACTGGCATCACATCCCTCTCCGTTATCAAAGATAAGGAAACATGGAACCGCATTCACCACGTAGCCCTTTTCAGTTGTGACCCCTCATTCAAACCACCCGAAGATTTTCAAGAGTCCTTTCCGTGTACTCACTCGCCCTTTTGGGACGGATGCAGCCGTATGGTACACGTGTTCAACAATGGAGCGGCTGAGTTCGCATTGCCCCGCGGCATTGCCTTCCCCTTGCCCACGAAAAACGCCATGTTGCAAGTGCATTACAAGAGGGGTGAGGCCAAATTCTCCGACACTTTCCTTGACAGCACTGGTGTCCGTATCAATTTGGACAGAGATCTCCAGCCTGTGCACCTCTTCGAGTTAGGCCCCAGATCGGCCCAGATGTTATCAATCCCCCCAAGACAAGCGCGTCATGTTGTGCAGTCAATCTGTGCGCCGGATTGCTTGAGTGACGCCATGGAGGAGAATGCAGCGACAGAGTTCAAAATCATTGCAGTGCAGCAACACATGCATGTTGCAGGCATTGCCGTAAAATCGGAGGTCCTTCATGCGAATGGCAGCTCCACGCCTTTTGGTGTGTTCCCGAGCTACAACATGTCAGAGCAAGATATGAAGCTCTTGTCCAGCGAAGTCGTTGTGTCTCGCGGAGATGCTTTGAAGGTTACTTGTGTATACGACTCTTCCCAACGCGCACGGTGGACATGGAATGGGATCAGCCTTGCTGATGAAATGTGTTTCAGTTACATCCTCATGACCCAGACGCCGCTCTACTTCAGTCGCTGCTGGCATTTAGGAGGTGTCAACCGTGCGCAATCAGATGAATGCTCCAGTGAGTGCAGCAAGCCTTT